GGAAGATCCTCTAAACAGGTACGTAGCCAGGAATTCGGAGGCAGCTGGTTTTTTGCTGCCACCACCAGCAGGCTCCACCCATTGCTTCTTGTCCTGCATTCAGGTGCTTTGGAAAATAGCTTGACTCCTTCTTCTTTGTAGCAGCCCCTATCATGTCTTCTCTAGTCCTTATTTTCATTAAACTAGCCATGGCCAATTCCTGCAACCGTTCTTCATATGTTTTAGCCTTCAGCCCCCTAATCATCTTTGTTGCTCTTCTCTGCACTCTTTCTAGAGTGTAGAGAAGAGCAACAAAAGTTCTTATGCTCTCAAATATGATGGAATTAAGGAAATTTAAGTGGACTAAGACATGCCTAGAGTATTGTTAGTGGAAAAATAAGGCAATATTAAGATATTAAGGCCTACCTCATGGTGATAAGGGTGACAACCATTTCTCTGCCCTTATTGCATTTGCCAATAATTGCCCAGTGATTCTGTTCTGGATTACTCAGTCCCTCTTTGGAGGGAGAAGTGCTAAGGTCTACTTAAAGGATCACTGAAGAAAACACTGCATATCTCACAGATAAAATTGGTCACATTCACTATTTTTTGGACTTCAGTGATAGAGCAGAGTCTATAGAGGTGGTGGGGACTATGTCTTGTAAGGTGCTTTGGAAAGCATTCAACCATTTGCGTGTTAGACCCGTGCTCCTCTTGGCTCATTAAGGCCTCATGGGAGGGGACACAGTGGGTCCAGGCAATAGTTAACTCCATTTTGGAATGGGGAGTGGTTCTGCTAGCTCTTAAAGAGGTGGTGGGGCACTCCCTCTTCAAACAGAGTGGTCACATTGCAGCTTAGAAAACTGGATAAAACTGATTAGTTAGACTCTTTTTAGTCTGAGTTCAGAACATGATTTGGTACTGAGACAGCATTGCACATACTGGTGAATGAACTCTGGCAGGAGTGGAATGGAGGCAGTACATCCTTTCTGGCTCTTCTTGATCTCTCAGCAGCATTCAATACCATTAATCTGGACCAGCTCAGGGAATGGGGAGTGCTTAGCACTATACTTTGCTGGTTCCCCTCCTTTAACCAGGGCCACTTCCATCATTGTTGATAGAGGGAGACAGATCTAGCCTGGGGCCTCTATTTTGTAGGGTGCCACAGGGCTCTGTTATTTCTCTCCTTCTATTTAACATTTATATGAGGCTGCTGGGTGAGGTAATTCTTTGATTTGAGGTGAGATATCATTAGTATGCAGATGACCCCATTTTATATATCTAGCTCAGAACCCTTGAGTGATATCATGGACATTCTAACCCAGTGTCTGGAGGTTATTGGAGACTGTATGAGGCAAAACAATCTGACTCAACCCTAGCAAGACAGAGGGGCTGGGGTAAGTTCTATCATCCCTGGTTCTGGATGGGGTTGTATTGCCTCAGACACTTCCCATGTGTAATCTGGGGGTCCAGCTAGACTTGCAGCTCCTGCTTAAAGACAAGGTGACAACCATGGCTAGGAAAGCCTTTGCACACTTTTAGGTGGTTTGCCAGTTGTGGCTCTTGTAACTTCCGGGTTAGACTACTGTAACACACTCTACACGGGGCTAATCCTAAAGACCATTCAGAAACTCCAACTGTAGCAGAATGCAGTCAAATGATGTCAACATACATGGCACTAGTAACACCATTCTTACATAGGCTGAACTAGGTACCAGTGTGTTTCCAGGCGCAATTCAAGGTGCTGGTAGTTAGCTTTAAACACTTTCATGGCTTGGTTCAGAGTGCTTAAGGGATCATCTTTTTTCAAGAGTCCCTACCCATTCAACCAGTTCAAACAGAATCAGCATCCTATAGATCCCATCAGCCAAAAAATATCAGCTGGCAAGGAACAGAAGGCAAACTTTTACTGCAGTAGCTTCTGCTATATGGAACATCCTCCCTTCAGTGATCTGAAAGGCCTCAAATCTGTTAGCCTTTCTTAAGGTTCCTAAAAACCTGCCTATGTTCCTAGCCTGGGGTACTAAATGTGCCAAGGGCTCCATTTTCTGGCTATATTGCTAACTGGCCAGGTATTTCACTCCTATGTATATTTAATTTGGATGTTTTTAGTGTTTTTTATTGGTTTTAGTATTTTATTGTTTCAAAATGTTTCAATTATTTTCAGCTGTAACATATTTTTTGAATTGCAAGCCACTCAGAATCATCGACTAAGATGGGCAGCCATAGAAACAAACAAACAAACACATCTGGCTATATTTCCAGTACTATATTTAGTGTATCCAATAGGAATTGAAATCATAAAATTGAAATATCAGAAAGGAGACTTGGGTAATTCTTTACACAATAGCAATCAGAGGTGGTATTCAGCTGGTTCAGACTGGTTCTAGTGTACCAGTAATGGAAATTTTGAGTAGTTCCAGAGAAGCGACAAATAACACCTCTGGCTTGCCCCATCCTTCCACCCCCACCATTCCCTGTCCTATATTCCCTTGTTTTTTAGCTCAGCTGATTTGCATGGCAGAGCAGATTGCCTCCCCCCCCAGCTGAATTAACAACAGCTCGTTTCACCATGGCTGACACTGAGGAGGGTCTTTGAGTGCTGCATGCATGCAAAGCACTCTCTCATAGAACTGGTAGGAAAAGATTTGGAATCCCACCGCTGATAATAATCCAATTATACATTCTTATAATGATTTTCTAACTCTACTTGAACATACCCAGTGAAGAGAAATCTGCCATATTTGTGCCTAACTGGTTCTACTGTTGAACAACTGTTATTGCTGGCCAATTTTTCTAATGTTCAATTGGAATCTGTCTTCTGTAACTCAAGTACAATCTATATTATGCCTTTATGGAGAATCTGTATATATTTATCTCTAAGCACTGTCTCAAGTATATGTTTTATATTAAGGATGCATAAATTTAAGAAGGTAAATTTGAACTGTGCTCTCTTATATACCCAGGGCTATTATCTATCGCCTGAAAATGCTTAGCGTTATATATTATTTTCTACTGAAATATATTAGAAAGTGTGTACCACACTTCATTCCACTGCTAATGTGGCTTTACCAATGAATTCTTTAATTGTTGCAGTGTTGACACATAAACTTAATTCAAAGATAATTCTTCATGTGCTAAGGAAAGCTTTACAAATTGCTACATGTCCATGAAATCTGCACTCACTAAGCTAAATAAAGAACTGAAAGAACAAAAAGTTACTGTTTGAAATTTTCATATATTTTCCCTCTTCTTCTATGTATTTTCCTATAAGTACAAGGAATTCACTGTAACAACTGGAATGATAATTTTATTGCAATCTAGTTCAAATATTAATGTGGAAACTAAAATGTATCTGTTGCATGCTTTTTAGTGGTCAATGTGCAGACAGTTCCTTTAAATTAGAAAATAATCTCATTCATGAATCAAAAATATTCATTTCTTATGTATGTTTGCTTCTTTCATGATACTTGTCAGCTTCTATGAGAGTTATAAATAAGACACAGGAGACTGATTTAGTCAAAAAGGATAAAATAGGGATTCTGGCAGTATGCAAAGATGACTGTTCAGAATTATGGAGAAATTCAAGAAAAAGTATGAAGGCCATTCTGGAGCAACTATAACTCAACTATTACTTGAATATTATACCATTTCTTCAAGTAATGATTGAGTTATAGTTGCTACAAAGGCACTTATTACATTACCCCATAAATAATGTCTATACTTATATTTCCTTCAGAACTGCCAGAGCCATGTGTTTTTAAGTTACCTCTTCTGCAACAAATGGAATTATGTTCCATACCGGTCATTGGGCAGTGATGCTCCAGCAAGTTTAATTATGGTAGGGAATATATCCATATTACTTGTTGGGTCATAAATATGTTTTCCAGGCTCAAGAACGTCAGGCCAGTAGAGGAGGCCAGGCACTCGAATCCCTCCTTCCCAGTTTGTAGCCTTTCCACCTGAAATAAAAACTCCCATTTAACTTCAAGTTGTTATTCTTTGGAGTAGAACACAACAGTCAATATTTAACTGAGGTGGTTAACCAAATAGTTTAACCATTACATAATAAAATACGAAGTATTTTGATTGGGCAGATTTTTTAAAAATGAAGACAAAAGTATTAAATGAAGATAAACATTGGTTTTAATATAAATATTTTTTTTAAAAACCCTAATGAAATCAAGAATTTTTCTAAAAGAAGCATTTCTCTTTTTTTTTCTCTCTCTCATAGGAAGTAATGTATCATCTTGAAAGAAATAAAAAAAGTTGGTGTTACTGGAAACAAATAACCAAGCACACAATGTAAAATATTTTTATAATCATTATCAGTGTTTTGCAAATAAAGAAAATAAAGAATAAATAAAGAAATTAGTTCTTCCTTCTAAACTCAATTCTATCTTATTATTATTATATCTACACTCAAATCGTTTTTTAAAGATAATCTAATACTTCTAGACATGAGATTTGGCCATGATTGCTTAGTCACAGTTTATTACAGAATAAAGTACTTTCATCAAACATTGGAAAGGATCACGTCTTACTTAATGAACTTCCAAGATACAATTGATGTCAGAATCAAAAAGATAGATTTTAAGGCTGATTCAGTAAAGCAGTTCTTAAATCCAAGACTGTAAATTACTAATTTCAAAGATATTGCCAAATCCAATTCACTTATATTATCTCAAGAATGGAAGAAATTCTGATAGTTTGGAATTTATTAGTCTGAAAAATCCCAGTTATGCATATAAAGAAATATTAGATATAATTATTATGACTAGAAATTAAAGGATTATATTTCTTTTTATGAAAGTGATGGTAATAACAACAATTATCAAGAAAATATTATACATATTACATGTCTACTAGAGTAATACACATTATAACAGACATTACATTTAGAATCAGTCCATTAATAATCTGTTTCTTTACTAACTTTAAGTGAAATTGGTATGAAATGATTGTGTTGTAGTATCCTTCAGTAAATAAAAATGTTGGATCAAGAGAAATCTTTTATTTTGTATCCACATACCATTTATAAGATGAGAAAGTTAGGAAACTTAGAAGCTGACAACCAAAGTAGAAGAATATTGGGAAAAATATGGTAAGTCACAAGCTAACCCTTGACTTATTACACTGTGTTGTCAATTTTTAACTAGACATGTAAATATTTTTAACAATATATAGATTGAAAACTGTTCTTCTACTTAACTCCAATTGTATTCATTTTAATTATAACCTCATTTGAAAAGACTAATTGCACCTATAAAAAGAGATTAAAATTATTTTCGGAGTGCATGCCTCCATGCAAAGGCCAAGTGTGTCTTTGGCCTGGACAAAAAAGGATCAGAGGAGTATAGATTGCATTTTACCCACACATTAACCTGATACCATTGCTGCAGTTGATACAACTCAGATGATACTGCTAAGTATCTAGGGCTGAGAAAGAATGAGTTTCCCAATATTTCCTAGCTGGCTTCGTGCCCAAGGTGGGTTTATAACTCATAGTCTCTGGGTTTCTAGGCTGGTGCTTTAACCATTACACCAAATTGACTCTCTAAGTCAGCCATTCTCAGAAATTGTTATATCTTATTATCTGACTATATCACAAGATAAACAACTAAGTTTCAATTGTGAAGATGTGATGAGAGCTTTTAAACTAGACTAGTGCAATTATTGTTAAGTAGATTTCAGCTTCTCAGATGAGAAGGTTAATTTGATGGATTCATAATCACATGCTCATATGCAAAGGATACATTTTGCAAAGAGCCCTCATCACAAATGCTACTGTGATTGAAAATTGCAGTCTAATTTCTGTTTATATAAACTGGTAATCATTGGCTGAAACTTCAGGGTCTTTGGTTGCAGAAATATTTCATTTTTATTTGTGGTTTTTTTTTCTGTAGCTTGAAGAGAACACATCTGATATTGAACTTCCCTATTCTATTTTTTCATCTGTAAATACTGTGCAGAAGAAAAAAAGTGGGGGGAACAGAAAGAAGAATAAGCATGGCATAATTAGTTAAATATTTATGCACACTTTCTGATACCTATGCATTTTCCTATAAATAATTGATGAGTTAAACTAATTAATGTGCTCAAAATGCAACAGTGACTCATATGTTGAGATTTCTTCTACATTGACTCTCATTAAGAAAAAAAGTTAATTCAATTTTTGCACATTCAGTATACACTTATGAATATTTTTTGCAAAATAAAATATTTTAACCTAAGCATGCCAAGATTATGTTCCAGTAGAATATTGAGCTAGTGGGAAACAACCAACAAAGAGAAAGATAAATGAGGAAGCAACATTTGCACGTTAGAAGTAATGGTGAATCCAGAATGAAAAGTGGGTAGAATCAAAAACTCTGCTATATAATCATAGGGAAATAGAAATAGTATCTATTATCTAAATAAATGGCCTCTTTGCTGCCCTATTTTTTCTTAAACTAAATAAAACAGTTTCCCCATTTCCCTTTTAATAAGATAGAATTACCCATTTGGTCACTCATTTAATTCCACCACTGCCCCTTAAATTAAATCCTTATATATTTCATAAGCAGGCAATCAGAATTTTGATACGATTGTCTTCTTGCCTCTTGAGCCCTGGAAGCTTATTAAATCAATTAGAAACTTAATTTCATAACCTGATACTGCTACTGTTTTCTTCTATATGAAACTTGAATCTTACAGTAGTTTGTGAGTTACAAAATGTGAGATGTTATATTTAAATACCTTAAACGTAAAGATAGCAACCATACAACTGTCATGTTAAAAGAGATAATAAGAAGTACTAATCATTACAGACAATAAAAACATGGAACATTTTTAAATGGGGAAGAACAAAGAAAGAAAAAGTTAATTATCCCAAACTACTTTGCCCTCTGAAGATAAGGAGCTTCCTTGATACTAACATCAAGCAGTTAGTGAATTTGCCTTGCTATTTGTTTACAGCCATCTCTTCCAGCTCATCACTGATAACATCTACTGGGAGTATACTGACTCCGTGAATGTAGAACCAAAAATGCTTTCAGCCATGCTAGTTGACTCTTTTAATTGTAATCACACCAGGAGGATGCTAAATTGGGTGAAGTTGGGATTACATTCATCTTAGCAGTATAATCATTGTAACAGGAACAGATGCTGGGACTGAAGGTAACATGGACAGGAAAGTGAACAAGTATCCAGGAGTATGTTTTTAATTTTTCTGGTGGCAGCAATGCAACTATAACCTCATGTGGGACCCCTTCCAAATATTTGATTAGGTCATTTCTTGTGAACCTTTCAACAGGCTCATAAATTTCCTAAGATAAATTGAGGAAGCTTTATACACTTTCATCCTACTGTAACTTTTTTTTTACTTTTAATTGCACATTCTGTTATTCCTTGGTTGCTTGTAAATTGATGTACAGGTAGTCCTTTATGATGACCATTGAGCCCAAAATGTGTTGCTAAGTGAGAAATTTGTTAAGTGAGTTTTGCCCCATTTTATGACTTTTCTTGCCACATTTGTTAAGTGAATCACTGCAATCAGGGGTGAAATCCACTTACCTTTGCTACCGGTTTAGTAGCAATGTGAGCGCACACCTCTGCGAATGCACAGGAGCTCCCAACTTTTTAAAGCATTTTTTAAACTACTAGTTAGAAAAAAAAGTTTTAAAAAGTTCTGATCGCGCTGCACAGCTGATTATCGCACAGCTGATCGTTGGAACTTTTTTTTTTTACTTTTTAAAGCATTTTTTTAACTACTGGTTCACCCCTGAATTAGTAACATGAATCTGGTTTCCCAATTGACTTTGCTTCTCAAAAGGTGGCAAATGGGGATCATATGACTCTCGGACACTGCAACCATCATAAATATGAGTCAGTCATCAAGCATCTGAATGTAAATCATGTGACCATGGGGATGCTGCAACAGACATAAGTGTGAAAAATGACCATTTTTAGTGCCGTTATAACTTTGAACTGTTGTAAGTTGAGGACTACTTGTATTTAGAATTAATGCTATAATTTCTGGTTATTGTTCGTCTTGAAAAGATTCATGCAGTGTAGTACATGACTGAGAGCAAGAGAGAGGTCAAGTATATCATAGGTTTGGAGTTCCTTTGTGCCCAAAAGAGATGTAAGTCCAGCCCTCCTTGAATTCTATTGACTCTTATCTACTGCCCTTTTGATCATTAGTAGTTCAGATTCTTGTAGAGAGAATGGCATGGAATAAACTTGTACTTATTTGAACAACCCTGGTTCCTGATTTCTGTGCCTAACATGGAATTTGTAATGTAATAAAAATAAAACTGGTAACAAAAAGGAATTCATTACCAATAATGAATTGCTCCAGTAACTTGATTTAGTTACTGTGTCATGTTAACATTTGATTCTGGCTATTATTTAGGACTGAGAATTGTCATTGTCTCCTTCTGAGGGCTGTGAGCGAGTGATTAGCTCATCCAGTTGGGTTTGTATCTAAGATCAGAATAGTACTCACAGTCTCTCAGTTTTTAGTTTTAACCAATACAACCATTAGTCTTTTTATCTAGCACTTTTAAAACTTAAATTCAACTTATGAGTGCACAGCAAAACTCATTACATTGCTTACTTCAATACCCAGTAAGCACACATCATGTTATTTATCTCTACATTGTATCACATTTAAAAGCATAAGTAGCAATGATGTACTGTATCCAATGAAAATACCACTTGCCTATTAATAAGAACTACATGTACTCTAGATAGAGTACTAAAAAGTGAAAGCAAGTTAACAGCAGAAAAGTCTAGCAAGAAAAATATATTGATGATTCAAGTGACATTCATATAAAAATGGAGTAAGGTAAAATAAACAGAAGAAAATGGAGGAAGATAGAAAATCTTCCAAAAATCTTTCCAAGAAATCTACAAGGTCTAGTACAGGCAGCTACCAAAGTCAAAAGGGGAATTGAAGGCACATCCCCACACACAAAGATCAAATGAACAACATGACAAATATTATTGTATAAACCTATTTATTAGGAGTTTTAAAATGTATGCATATATGCAAGGACAATTTAAGGCATTTTGCGGTGTGTGTTAGTGTTAGGGTCACAAATGGACAAGGCATCAAAATGGACTGCACTGTGATATTCATGGGGGAAGGGAAATTTTAAAAAAAAGTAAAAGTAAATAAATGGTGACGGTGGAAGTGTGATGGAAACCTCACCTTTTTTGTGCATGTGTGACATGAACCCATGTACAAAAATGCTTGTTTCGAAACACCAAATGTGTTGCATTGCTATTTTTACTCACCTCCCTCAACTATGAACACCATTGTTTGCATATCAAAGTTAATGGCATGCTTGATCACATCAACTACTTCTTGCTGTTCCCCATCATCTGTCTAATGACAGGTCTGGCCCTACTGATATGACTAAAATGTTCCAACAAAAAAAAAACCTGTACTCATAGCTGTCTCATATATATATCCACTTTTTAAAATGTAGGTTACTCCAACTATAAGGACAATTGAACAGAATTTGTGAAACACAATAGTAACCGTCCAGACCTTCCGCACAGCCCTCAAGATCTGGCTATCCCGTCAGGCCTGGGGATAAGATCACAATCTGTCCCCACCCAAATGAAGAATGCATGTTGTGTACTATTTTA